TGTGAGGGCAGCGGGGAGATAACCAGACACAGCTTGCTGGTTCGGAATCTGTTATCATTCTATTCCCATCACCCCTCCACCTTCCTGTTGCAGAAGGGAAGGCTGCCTGTCTGCTAAAATTCACCAGACCTCCGTTGCTTTGAGCAAAGCACTGGATTTATGAAGTGGAGTCCTTCCACAGTAGGAAGGGAGGGATAAATTTAGCCACTGAGCCTCTTGGGCTTGCCAATCGGAAGGTCGGTGGTTCGAACCCGCACAACACGGTGAGCTCCCATTGCTCTGTCCCAGCTCCCGCCAACCTAGCAGTTCGAAAGCACACCAGCGCAAGTAGATAAATAGGTACAGCTGTGGCAGGAAGGTAAACGGAGTCTCCGTGTGCTCTGGTTTCCGTCACGATGTCCCGCGGAGGCCAATTCTGGATCCACACGTCCTTCCACAATGTGGACATAGGTTTCTGGGCGGGAGTTGATCTTGCTGAGGGTTTGCCAAGCGTACCTTCCTCTTAGCGCGTTCCCCCTTTTCGCCCTGAGTTCGCCCAGGATTTAAAAAAACAACGAAAAAGAAGTTTGGAAAAAGAGAAACGGAGAAAAACCAAAACTGGTAGGTCCCTCTTCCACAGTCAGCCTTGCAACTTTCTGGCATGGGAGTCTGCTATCCTCTGGGTTCCCTGCCATTTCGTTTTGTAGTCGTGGCTTCTTGTCTAAATTTATGTGAAACGGGCCTCCGTTAAGGTTAAAAAGCTCTCCAGCTAAAATGTCATAAAACACAATTACAACCATAAAACCCCTAATAACAGCCAGACATAAAAAATGATGTTAACATCCAGCACAAGCCGCACCCACTCGATATATGTAAAGCACATTGAATGCACATGGCTTGCCCCTAAAGGATTCTGGGAACTGTAGTTTTCTTCTTCTTCTTCACAGAGCTACCCTCGCAGCACCCTTGGCAAACAGTTCCTATGGCCGTTGGAGCAAAGCCATGTGTTTCACATCGGCTTTAACTGTCTGGTGTGGGTGTGCCGAATGGGTTACGTGACTACAATCCAACCTTTCAGCAGCACAAGAAAGACACAACTTCAGAGCATTCAGACTAAAGCAGAGGAACACAGAATGCTGAAACATTCAGTGGATGGGGGCTCTTGGGGCATGGCTGGTCCAGTGCTCCAGGGAGACATGGTGCTGCTGCCGATACGGAAGCGGGTCTCGCTGTGGTCTAAACCTCTGAACCTCTTGGGCTTGCCGATCGGAAGGTCGGTGGTTCGAATCCCCACGACAGAGTGAGCTCCCGTTGCTCCGTCCCAGCTCCTGCCAACCTAGCAGTTCGAAAGCACACCAGTGCAAGTAGATAAATAGGTACCGCTGCGGCGGGAAGGTAAACGGCGTTTCCGTGCGCTCTGGTTTCCTTCACGGTGTCCCGTTGCGCCAGAAGTCATTTAGTTCTGCTGGCCACATGACCCGGAAAGCTGTCTGTGGATAAACGTTGGCTCCCTCAGCCCGAAAGCGAGATGAGCACCGCAACCCCATAGTCACCTTTGGCTGGACTTAACCGTCCAGGGGTCCTTTACCTTTTTACCATTACCTGCAGATATGGACCTCCTCCATTGTACTTGCCTTCCAATCTAGCTGTTTTCAGAGGCAAGGAATCCATCACATACAGATTGGTGGACCGCCATATATATATATTCCTATATATAGATATATAAAAGTAAAGGGTAAAGGGACCCCTGACCATTAGGTCCAGTCGTGGCCGACTCTGGGGTTGCGGCGCTCATCTCGCTTACTGGCCGAGGGAGCCGGCGTACAGCTTCCGGGTCATGTGGCCAGCATGACTAAGCCGCTTCTGGCGAACCAGAGCAGCACACGGAAACGCCGTTTACCTTCCCGCCGGAGCGGTACCTATTTATCTACTTGCACTTTGAGGTGCTTTTAAACTGCTAGGTGGGCAGGAGCAGGGACTGAGGAACGGGAGCTCACTCCTTCGCAGGGATTCGAACCGCGACCTTCTGTGCTTTAACCCACAGCGTCACCCACATTCCAGGATATAGATATATAGATAACCCCAAAATTAAGTCCTCAAATTCAAAGCTTTGAAAAGCACAGTGGTCAGAGCCCGGCAGGCAACTGTTTCTTCTTCTTCTTCTTCTTCTTCTTCTTCTTCTTCTTCTTCTTCTTCTTCTTCTTCTTCTTCCCCCACCCAAACAATGACTATCATCAGTGCAGGTAAGATTTTTTTTAAATTCATAATAAAATTCATGTTAAATTGCTGTTTTAGGGGTTGGTTTTAAAAGTCTGGAACCGATTAATCCATTCTGCATTACTTTCTATGGGAAAGTGTGCCTTGGTTTTTGTTTTGGAATGGACTTCCGGAATGGATTAAGCTTGAGAACCAAGATACGCCCCCCCCCCTCTCTCTCTCTGTGTGTGTGTATAATTTTTTAAATTAGATTTTCTAATTTACATTTCAAAATAAGAAGTCTTCCCCTGCTATAATCTTTAGCTTCCCTTTAACCCCAGGCACCTGCATTTCTCTACAGTTCTCTCACAGAATTGCAAAATTCAGAGAAGTGTGAATGTCAAAGGATGGCTGTTTTTCGATCCACATCTTGCAAGGATGAATGCTAACTTTGCAACTATCACCATTCCCTTCGCGAGAATTGCTCAGGCATGAAGGAAAGGCACTCTGCAAACGCCCAGGAATATTGCATTTTTTTGTTTTTGTTTTTACGACATAATGTTGCATCTCCAAATGTTGGCTGCTTGAGAAAGCCACTTCCAGCTTCAGGAAGGAGGTGGGTTGCGGGCTTCAAGGCCCCTCCAGGCGTGCAGTTGCTGGAGGCCAGCCCCGTGCGATTGGGGGGATTCCCGGCTGCGTCACCCCCTAGCCGGCCAATCGGCTGGCTCTGGGGGCATGGCCTGCCTTATATAAACCAGGACGCGGCCGGGTATCTCCCTCTTTGCTACCCGTCAGCTGTTCCTGCTTTCCCACCCTATAAGGTTTTCGTTCTTTGACCTTGCTATGGACCTCGGTTGGTCGCCGTTGAGGGGCCTGGTAGGAATTTTTCCACTTGGCAATTTGGCACCAGCCACTTGGCTTTCACCTACCTCGTAGCAAATCGTCACAACTTTCTGGGTACAGTGGTACCTCGGGTTACATACACTTCAGGTTACAGACTCCGCTAAGCCAGAAATAGTGCTTCAGGTTAAGAACTTTGCTTCAGGATGAGAACAGAAATCGTGCTCCGGCGGCGCAGTGGCAGCAGGAGGCCCCATTAGCTAAAGTGGTGCTTCAGGTTAAGAACAGTTTCAGGTTAAGCACGGACCTCTGGAACAAATTAAGAACTTAACCCGAGGTACCACTGTATTGGTGGTTAGGCATTGGTATTGTTTTGTAGATGGAAAATGGGGAGGTAGCGCCATCACCTGCCCCACATATTGAAGGGTAGTCCGATAAAGGATTCCGGGGGACGTGGCCCTGTCTGAAGCCTAAGGAGGTGTGGGCCTAAGGCACGCCCCCTAGCGGTGACCCCGGGGGGGGTTCCTAGTTGATGCGCATCAGCAGGACTCCCCCTACTGGTGGTTAACCCTTCCCAGACTTCAAGCGGACGGGCTGAAGTCGGATATAGTCGGTTAGGACCAATGCAGTGGAATTTGCTGCCAAGGAGTGTGGTGAAGACTCCTTCTTTGGAGGTCTTTAAGCAGAGGCTTGACAACCATATGTCAGGAGTGCTCTGATGGTGTTTCCTGCTTGGCAGGGGGTTGGACTCGATGGCCCTTGTGGTCTCTTCCAACTCTATGATTCTATGAATGCCTAAGCCAATATCGCTCATCACCTGTAATCAATAAAGTTGTGGCCTTTTTTTTTTAGCACATTAACCTTAATAATTGCATAATGTGTCATTATTTCCACCTGGCGAACTCTCCATGCAATGCTGGGGTCAAATCACTTGTGGCTTCCTGGGACAGCTCAGCAAGCAGAGCCGCAAGACTCTTAATCTCAGGGCTGTGGGTTCCAGCCCCACACTGAGCAAAAGATTCCTGCATCACAGGGGGTTGGTCTGGATGACCCTTGGGGTCCCTTTCTACAATTCTATGAGTCTATGAAAGAAAAGTGGAGCAGAACAAGCAGGTCCTGTACAGTGGTGCCCCGCAAGACGAATGCCTCGCAAGATGAAAAACTCGCTAGACGAAACGGTTTTGCGTTTTTTGAGTCGTTCCGCAAGACGAATTTCCCTATGGGCTTGCTTCGCAAGACGGAACGTGCAGCGAGTTCTTGCGAGTTTGTTTCCTTTTTCTTAAAGCCGCTAAGCCGCTAATAGCCGTGCTTCGCAAGACGAAAAAACCGCAAGACGAAGAGACTCGCGGAATGGATTAATTTCGTCTTGCGAGGCACCACTGTACAACACTTTGGTCCTTTCTGCCTTCCTTCAAATCACTCTTCAATTTGCAGACTTCCCTGTGTGGCCTTCCTTTCTGAAAATCACCACTCCAAATTTTGACTGCCCTTATCTGGATTCATCCACTCCCTGGTTCCCCTCCCTGGTTCCCCCCCACCAGCCTTGTTTGTTTATTTTACTTTGTAAGCTCCTAGGGGGCGGAGAGCTGCCTTCCACATTTTTGCCTCCGCGAGGAAGACAGCATGCGAATCGATGATGTCTACAAAAAGTGCCTCTTAAACGGCAAACGCCCGGATGACATCCTCGCTGAGCTATTTCAAATAAAATGTCCTCACCTGGTACTTAAAATAAAATCACTCCTCTCGTCTCCCCCCCCACCCCCCCTGAAATCTAGATTTTCCAGCCCTCTCATCCTTCTCTCTTCCCATGGTTTGGGAGAAGCAGCTCCGACCGTCTCAGGAAAGACACGCTTAATCTTTTGGGCACTGGGGGGAAATTTGACACCCTCAGCCTTGGTGGTGGAGGGTGGGGCTTGCCAAAACCCCTCCCCTCGTGCATTCGGCTCTGTGGACTGCACCTTCTCCGCCCCCCTCCTTTCACCCCCCCCAGAAAAAGAGTTGGAAGGCAGGAACAGATCCACCAAACCCTCTGACTGTTCCCCCTAAAGCAGAGAAGCTCCAAGGTGAATGTGAAAAATGCAAAGCAGGGGAGAAGGAAAATAGCTGCTGTGGAAGGAAATAACTTCTTGAAAAGTGACAGAACCAGAAGCCTTGGGGTTTTGTTTTGTTTTTTTGGTGTGTGGGGTTTTTCCCCCCTTGCATGTGTGCTTCTTGCTTGCTTTCTCTACCCCCACCGTTCTAAACAACCCTGCTGTTCTGTCTCCAAAGGATTTCTGAGTTGAGGCTGGCAGCTGGCTAGGAAGAGAAGGAAAAGTCGGCGTTTATGCACACCAGACGCACCAGCGCAAAGAGACTCCAGCTGCGGCCGGGAGAAGCGCTTCGGAAAGGGCATCTGAGTGACCTTTGGAGGCCTGAAGACCGCCACCTTCCAGCAAGAAGTGGCAGGGAATTAGTCAGCTGGGGGAGACCGATTCGCCAGGTGCCCAAAGGAGGCTCCGCTGGCGAGGATCGCACCTGGCCCGGGGGCAGAGGTGGGCGGCAGGAGCCACGTGCAGACGTCCACCTGCTCGACCTCCCCCCAGAGGACCTCTTCTCCCTCGGGGCGAGGCGAAGGAGGGAGGCCCAGGTCAGCAGAGGGAGCGTCCTCCACCGCAGAGAGCCACAAAAACTTCTGGAATCTGCATCTGTGTGTCGTCCCCAGACCGTTTCCGATGTCCTTCAAAGTCTGGATCCCCAGGGAGTGAGAAGATGGGTTTTGGTAGCAAAGCTGCCCTGGTTTGGCAGAATGCAGAAAGCGGAATGAGATTTCGCAGGGCGGTTGGTGGTCAGAAGGAGGATTAACCCAAAGTCGGGTGTGGAGGTTTTCTGGAGTTGCCGCTGAATTATTTTTGGACTTTCCTGGATGAGATGGGCCCTTTGAGGTGATTTGTGTTCCCACCCCCCACCCCACCCCTTGTGTTTTTGTGGGTTGTTGTTTGTTTTTGCAAGGATGACTGGCCTTGTGGGTTTTGATTCTTTCGGAGATCTCTGCTTTCTCGGGGACGCTTTTTGACGGATGATTTTCGGAGAGACTGGACTGCGAAGGTAAGAGGACGGGGGCTCTTCCCATTGTTTTCCGGGCTGTTAAGGCAGGGTATAATCCTGCTTTCCGGGGGAGGTGGAAATGTGAGGACATGCAGAGTTTGAGGACAACTTGCTGCGATCATTTTAACAACCAGATCAAGAGGAGAAGTGTCTTAAATATGGGAGGGTGACGGAAGATGTGTACATTTCCTTCTTTCCCCCCAGTGCCATCTCAAATCAGATCTGTCCCTGCAGCAAAATGAGGTGGTCGGATCCTGATGAAGTAGAATGGCTTTATACCCCTTCAGGCTGCATGGAGTGGTGGGGGACATAGGAAATTATACATTGGTTTATTTACTCTCCGGTGTTTCACACAGGGGGGTAATTTGCAGTCCCCCCTAGAGATGACAAGGATTGAATCCTGGCATCCAAAATAGTTTCCCTACCCTTGGGCTCCATCCCTTCTCCAGCCACAGTTTTGAGCATTCCCCCATATTAAAATGAAAGCCAAGCAAAATGCCCCGCAAGCAGAAATCTAGCACAGCATGCAGAGGGCAAGGTTTTTCTCCTTGCGGTCAAACAAGGAGCTTTTTTTTTCTTTTCCATTTTACATGTCAGGAAGCATTTGAGCATTTCCCCCCCCCCTTGCAACCTTGAAAGCAGCACAGTCCACTACTCCCGTCCTCCTCAGGGCCATGCTTTTGGGCAAAGTGGAAATTCTACTTTTTGAACACAGGACCGGAGTCGGGAATTTATTTCTGGGTGGCTTAATGTAGCCTACGGTGAACGAACTTTACAAATTTGGGTGGCTCTCAGATGCTGGATAGAGAATAGTTTTCATATCCCTTGTTAGAGGGGTAGGGCAGTGCCAAATACTCAACTAATTGGGACTAAGAATTTATCCCTAGATTTAAATATTTGGTTTTTTTAGGTTAGGGGGATACCAAGAACACTGATATACCAACTGCTTCATTCACTAATTAATGAATAGCATATCTCCCCAGTGTTGACAGGGATGTGCAAAGTTAAAATCCCCAGGGAAGAATTTTGCACGTGAAATAACGGCTCGACGCACATGTTTCAACAGTGCGTAAACCAGAAACCTCTGCTTTCTCACTGTAGAGTTATTGCAGGGCAGGGAAATGAGGGCAGGGCATATTCCTCCGTTTTCACGAATACATAAATGAGTATCAGAGCAGCTGCTCGCATCAACTATGAACTCGTTTCCAGAACTGCCCAACTTCTACTTACGGGAGCAAAACTGCATAGCCGACTATCGCAAACTCGGAATTTATTTATTTAGCGAAATCTAGCTTTGGGATACAGTGTGATTTCCTCACTTGCTGGCGACAAAAGCATGAAGCTTGCACCTTGTAATCGGTATGCCTAGGTGCACATTTAGAAATACCGTATTTTTTGCTCTATAAGACTCACTTTTTCCCTCCTAAAAAGTAAGGGGAAATGTGTGTGCGTCTTATGGAGCGAATGCAGGCTGCGCAGCTATCCCAGAAGCCAGAACAGCAAGAGGGATTGCTGCTTGCGCAGCGATCCCTCTTGCTGTTCTGGCTTCTGAGATTCAGAATATTTTTTTCCTTGTTTTCCTCCTCCAAAAACTAGGTGCGTCTTGTGGTCTGGTGCGTCTTATAGAGCGAAAAATACGGTAATTGCAAAGGTTTATATAGAGATGCGTTTCATCTCCTGGAATGGGGAAGACTGACAAGGCGATTTGTGTTCTGCATCTGTAAGCTGCCTTGAGTCTTTGTCTGGGAAACAGTCAAGGTATAAATAAATATATCATCATCAATATCACAATCTGTTGTTGATGTGCTCACTGTAGATGGGAAGCATGGAAGTATTTTCAGATCTGCCTTCTTGGCATTCTTTGGCAGTGTTCAGACCAGTGCCGGATTTACGTATAAGCTAAACAAGCTATAGCTTAGGGCCCCACTCTCTTGGGGGCCCCCCAAAAAATTAAAGGAAAAGTAAACACTGGATGTACATTTCCAAAATATAAGATAAAAAACAGACCAATAATATAAGACCTACATACAGCAACAGCGCTTTGTGTTGTGTAGGCTCCTATGATGTAAGTCATGGGCCCCGCCTGCTCCCTAAAATATCACTGGTTTGCTCCTTTCTATATATAGGGTGCCTACATTCTGCATGGACTGGTTGCAACATGGGCAAATGGCTTGAGATACCTATGAGGTCCATAAATGACCATATAGCATATATTCAACACAAAAAAACAGCGACAATTTGTTGTGGACAAAGGACAGCTGGACATAGAAAGGGCCCCATTACCTTCAGTAGGGCCTCATCAAACCTAAAACCAGCCCTGGTTCAGACTATACATTTAAATACATACGATTGGATCCTGACGTTTACCCACAACAGAGCTACCTTTCCCAGCACCCAGAGCAAACTACAGTTCCCAGGATTCCTTGGGGGGGGGAAAGTCACGTGTCCTTATGTGTGTCTGCAGACTTTTGTCTCTAAACTAGGCTTGGGCTGGACAGCCCCCCAGACAGAGAGCAGACCCTCCAAGCCTCTCTGTTTTCCAGGGATAGTCCCGGATTTACGGAAGCCATCCTAGTTTCTGATCTGATCCCGGAACGTCCCGCTTTTCCTTAGGGCATCCCTATTTTCATCGGAAAAATGTTGGAGGGCAAGGAGTTATGTGACTGCCCCCCGCAAGCCAAGGTGATAAGTCACAATGCAACCTTTAGAAGACATCTGGATAGGGAGGTTTCTTAATGTTCTGTTTTCTTATGTTTTTACCTATGTTGGGAGCTGCCCAGAATGGCTGGGGAAACCAGTCAGATGGGCGGGGCATAAATAATGAAAGTGTTGTTGCTGTTGTTCTTCTTCTTCTTCTTCTTCTTCTGCTTCTGCTTCTGCTTCTGCTTCTTGTTATTATTATTATTATTATTATTGATGTTCTAGTCAGACGAGCGAACTGCTAGGTTGGCAGGAGCTGGGACTGAGCAACGGGAGCTCACCCCGTCGTGGGGATTTGAGCCGCCGACCTTCTGACTGGCAAGCCCTAGGCTCAGTGGTTTAACCCACAGCGCCACCCGCATCCCTAAAGGTAAAGGGACCATTGACCATTAGGTTCAGTTGTGGACGACTCTGGGGTTGCAGCGCTCATCTCGCTTTACTGGCCGAGGGAGCCGGTGTACAGCTTCCGGGTCATGTGGCCAGCATGACTAAGCCACTTCTGGCGAACCAGACCAGCGCACAGAAACGTCGTTTACCTTCCCGCCGGAGCGGTACCTATTTCTCTACTTGTGCTGGTGTGCTTTCGAACTGCTAGGTTGGCAGGAGCTGGTACAGAACAACGGGAGCTCACCCGGTTGCGGGGATTCGAACCGCCAACCTCCTGATCGGCAAGCCCTAGGCTCTGTGATTCTGTGATCCTGAACTCAGCTTCAAGGTTCCATCTCTCTCTCTCTATAGATCACTCTCTTGTTTAGGCTTCCTCAAATACCTCTGGCCGCTTGCTCTTTCGAGACGCTGCCAGGCGCCGTGGAGTGTCTTAAGTCATATAAATTTTTACTGTATTGCAATCTCAAGTGCCTTCTGGAGAAGCGAAGGACCGCTGCCAAGCCGCTTCACGAGAAAACTTTGTTTAGGGAAGCATGTTATTCCAAGGCCCTGCTCCTCCCCTCCCGGTTCTGCAGGCTGTGGCCGCATTTCCCCCCAAGCGCGCATGCTTTCCTTGACTGAGATGGTTGTTCCTGAACCATGCGCTGACTGGTGGCTGGTGCTCCTTGCGACTGGACCCAGAGCCAAGGACAAGGCAGCGCCAAGCCATTCTACTTTGGTCTCGCTCCTCTTCCCTCCTGAGTTCTACAGGAGCAGCCTTGGGTCTTGAGGAGCAGGAGGAAGGTGGAAGGAAGCATCTCCCTCTAGTTTGGCTGAAAGTAACAAAGGTCCGTATAGTTAAAGCTTTGGTTTCCCCAGTAGTGATGTATGGAAGTGAGAGCTGGACCATAAAGAAGGCTGATCGCCGAAGAATGGGTGCTTTTGAATTCTGGTGCTGGAGGAGGAGACTCTTGAGAGTCCCATGGACTGCAAGAAGATCAAACCTCTCCATTCTGAAGGAAATCAGCCCCGAGAGCTAACTGGAAGGACAGATCTTGAAGCTGAGGCTCCAAGACTTTGGCCACCTCAGGAGAAGAGAAGACTCCCTGGAAAAGACCCTGATGTTGGGAAAGATGGAGGGCACAAGGAGAAGGGGACGACAGAGGACGAGATGGTGGGACAGTGTTCTCAAACCTACCAGCATGAGTTTGACCAAACTGCAGGAGGCAGTGGAAGACAGGAGTGCCTGGCATGCTCTGGTCCAGGGGGTCATGAAGAGTTGGAAACGACTAAACAACAACAACAAAGGATCTAGTGGCTGGCTGAGGGCATACATAGAACCTCCATTGGCTCCCAGGACGTTTCCGAGCACAATTCAAAGTGTTGGTGCTGACCTTTCAAGCCCTAAATGGCCCAGTAGACCTGAAGGAGCGTCTCCACCCCCATCGTTCAGCCCGGACACTGAGGTCCAGCTCCAAGGGTCTTCTGGCGGTTCCCTCCCTGCGAAAAGTGAGGTTACAGGGAACCAGGCAGAGGGCCTTCTCGGTGGTGGCGCCCTCCCATCAGTTGTCAAGGAAATAAACAACTATCTGACTTTCAGAAGACATCTGAAGGCGGACCTGTTTAGGGAAGTTTCTAATGTTTGATGTGCTTTTAATATCCTGTTGGAAGCCGCCCAGAGTGGCTGGGGAGACCCAGCCAGAGGGGCGAGGTATAAGTAATAAATTATTATTATTATTGAGTGTTTGGGGCACACTGAGCCAATTCTGTTTCAGGGACTAAGTACCAGTTGTCAACTTGTGGGGCAATGTCTGGAGAATCGAGAAGTTGTCTACCTTTGCCTTGCCGAAAAGGGATCCGTGAGCTACCTGTTCAATGAATACTCCTTCCTGCTGTGGCTACCTTTTGTGGGAGGTATTTAAACAGCGTCTGGTTGTTCGTCTGTCGGGGAAGCTGTGCATTCATGAAGGGATTTCTGCTCGACCTGTCTTCCTCACAGCTGTTTCTGTTCTGCTGCGATTCGGTTCCGCCAAATGCCACATTCCTCTGTGGCATCCCCTGCCTGCTATTTAATGCAACCTCGCCGATTGTTTGCATATGTTACCCTAAGCTGTGAATTCCATGGAACCAAGGGCATAATTATTTCTACCCCCTCCGCTGAAATGCAAAGGAAGCGCGATTTAAACGGGGGAAAGTAATCAGTTACAGGCAGAAAACAACAGCAGCGAACTTCTAAACATCTCCAGCGCTGCACCCTTTTCTTGCAGGGCTCCAACCCTTTTCCAAATCTTTTCCAAACTCTTCAATGTCCTTTTTGAGCGACGGTGCATTGTAAAGGGTTGGACTAGATGACCGCAAGGGGGACCTCCAACTTTACAGTTCTATGATTCTCTGTGTCCTAACACTAGAACCCATGGAAATCCAATGAAGCTGGACACCGGAAGATTCAGGACAGACAAAGTCCTACTTCACAGAGCATGTTAAGTGTAAGAGAACATGTAAGACTAAGAGTACCGTATTTTTTGCTCTGTAAGACTCACTTTTTCCCTCCTAAAAAGTAAGGGGAAATGTGTGTGCGTCTTATGGAGCGAATGCAGGCTGCACAGCTATCCCAGAAGCCAGAACAGCTTTCACTGCGCAGCGATCCCTCTTGCTGTTCTGGCTTCTGAGATTCAGAACATTTTTTTTCTTGTTTTCCTCCTCCAAAAACTAGGTGCGTCTTGTGGTCTAGTGCGTCTTGTAGAGCGAAAAATACGGGTATGCGCTCTCTCTGGCGCAAGGATTCATATCCTAAACCTGTGCCAAAATAAGCACCCCTCTCCCTTAATGCAAATTGAGGAAATGTGCGCAGCGCTTCTTATTTTGCATAATTCTGGTTTTCCTAGTTGAGGCAGGTGGGAGAGCCCATCTTCCCCCTCCCCTCCCCGGTTGCTGGAAATCTGCAGCCGATTTTTGCACCCACTCTTAAAACGGCTATTGAACCTCTTTCCTGCTTCTGGAAATCCCAGTCTAGCGACAAGGCAGTACGAGTCGCCGTTGAGGCAGACGGGCTGTGGGACTCCTTCTTCTCCCTTGTTAACTGGGAGAGGCAAGCGGTGATATATAAAGCGTTATAGGCACATCCTCTGAATGGCTCTCGCGCACATGGACTGAATATTTCCCAGAACCTCTCTCTCTCTCTCTCTCTCTCTCTCTCTCCTTAAGTAAAGCAAGCTGAGATTCTCAGGAAGTTGAGTTGTGGGGTCAAAGCTGCTTTCTGTGATTTTTACGGCGCTCCTGGAGAATTGCAGCATCTAAACGCAGCCCTGAATTAGACGGATTTCCTGCTCTGTTGAAGTAAGGTGGAACTCAGGAGGCTAGCGGTGAATGGAAGGAGGTCAGCTTTCTCTGTTCCTGAAATAACCTGCTTCCTTTGGGTTCTCCCTCACACCTCTATTTTACTGCCCTCCCAGTGCTAATAAAGACTTCACAATTCTCTCTCTCTCTCTCTCTCTCTCTCTCTCTCTCTCTCTCTCTTCAAGTTGGAAGAGGATTTTGGAGGGGCACTCACACTCTGCAATTTGCTTTTGCATTTTGTTTCGGGAATATTTTATTTCTTCCTCCCAACTAGTCAGTCAGTCAGTCAGTCAGTCAGTCAGTTTTATTGCACATAGCCAAAGGCTGCTGCAATGTACACAGAATTATTTGACAATTAAAAGAAAATATACTGAAAGACTTAAAACATTTATATTATCAAAACATTACGCATTCAAAACAGAGCTATAAAAGTACCCCAATGTACAAATCAAGACATTAAACAATAAAATTCGTAAGCTGAAATCATCACATGGCCACTAGTGTTAAAAGCAATGTCAATTAATACAGTGTGCAATTTATACTCAGGGTTTGGTGACAAAGATAGAGCAGAGCCTGAGGGAGATAGATAGGATCAAATAAATTAATCTCCTTTACAGTTAATGGCTACCTTGGCTATATAATTTGCTCTGATTTTCCTAGCAGCAGTTGTAAAAAGTGCTACACACTATTAGGAAGCTATTAGGAAGAACTTACTGATGACATGAGGTGTTTGACCGTGTGGACGGACTCTCCTTAGAATCACAGAATCACAGGGTTGGAAGGGACCCGGGGCGGTCATCTAGCACAACCCCCCTGCAACGCAGGAAAATATGCAGCTGTCACATGCAGGGATCGAACCAACAACCTTGAGGTCTTCAGGACCACACTCTAACCTACTGAGCTATCCAGACTGTGCTCAACTTCCTCATAGACTTTTAAAACTAGGCTGGGCGCCTACCTGTCGGGGGGAGGAATTTGGTTTGGCTCATATTTTAATGCAAACCCACCTGATTCACAATTTCTGAAACAATTTGTTGTTGTTGTTTAGTCGCTTAGTCCTATCCGACTCTTCGTGACCCCCTGGACCAGAGCACGCCAGGCACTCCTGTCTTCCACTGCCTCCCGCAGTTTGGTCAAACTCATGTTAGTAGCTTCGAGAACACTGTCCCACCATCTCGTCCTCTGTCATCCCCTTCTCCTTGTGCCCTCCATCTTTCCTAACATCAGGGTCTTTTCCAGGGAGTCTTCTCTTCTCCTGAGGTGGCCACAGTCTTGGAGCCTCAGCTTCAGGATCTGTCCTTCCAGTGAGCACTCAGGGCTGATTTCCTTCAGAATGGAGAGGTTTGATCTTCTTGCAGTCCATGGGACTCTCAAGAGTCTCCTCCAGCACCATAATTCAAAAGCACCGATTATTTGGCGATCAGCCTTCTTTATGGTCCAGCTCTCACTTCCATACATCACTACCAGGAAAACCATAGCTTTAACTATACGGACCTTTGTCGGCAAGGTGATGTCTCTGCTTTTTAAGATGCTGTCTAGGTTTGTCATTGCTTTTCTCCCAAGAAGCAGGCGTCTTTTAATTTCGTGGCTGCTGTCACCATCTGCAGTGATCATGGAGCCCAAGAAAGTAAAATCTCTCCCTGCCTCCATTTCTTCCCCTTCTATTTGCCAGGAGGTGATGGGAAAAGTGGCCATTATCTTCGTTTTTTGATGTTGAGCTTCAGACCATATTTTGCGCTCTCCTCTTTCACCCTCATTAAGAGGTTCTTTAATTCCTCCTCACTTTCTGCCATCAAAGTTGTGTCATCTGCATATCTGAGGTTGTTGATATTTCTTCTGGCAATCTTAATTCCAGTTTGGGATTTATCCAGTCAAGCCTTTGAAACGCAGCCGTCCTTCTGAATTCTCGCTTGTCCCTGAATTTTGTAATACAGCCCTATAGCCAGGAGCCGTGTACAAAAAAAGGCACGTACTAAGGGGATGTGTACATAAAAATGAATATATTGCTGAAAAAGGACCAATAGTGCATTGCATTGGGAGGGGAAAGGCTTTGTAAATAATGTGTAGCTTGGGAGAATTTCGCACTGAACCGTTGATGAATTTTAATGACTTTACGATACTGCACATTGCTGCAGAAATGTGGAGAACTGAATTTAATTGGGGTGTGTGTGTGAGAAACTGAGAGAAACTTAAATTTTCAGATTCCCCCCTTAGTCTAAGGAGATCCCGTTCACTTCTGTGGTTCATTGATAAATCTCCACCACCCCAGCCCCATCTATGTGCAGGATCTGAAACACAGGTAAACACAGATTCATAGCAGGGCAAGGTTACTCAGAAGCAAGCCCTGTTGGGTCCAGTAAGGCCTACTTTCTAGTCTAGTAAGTAGCGATTGGGGATAAATTTGGTACCAGCAATCCTTCAAAATCTTCACCTACCTCCCATCCAAAAATAACCCCCAAAGTGTCATACTGCAATAAAATAACAATTCACAGGGAGACAGCAAACTAAGTCATACTGAATTTAATGGGCTAGGGACGTGGGTGGCGCTGTGGGTTAAACCACAGAGCCTAGGGCTTGCCGATCAGAAGGTTGGCGGTTTGAATCCCCGCGATGGGATGAGCTCCCGTTGCTCGGTCCCTGCTCCCGCCAACTAGCAGTTCGAAAGCACGTCAAAGTGCAAATAGATAAATAAGTACCGCTCTGGCGGGAAGGTAAACGGCATTTCCGTGCGCTGCTCTGGTTCGCCAGAAGCGGCTTAGTCCTGCTGGCCACATGACCCGGAAGCCGTACGCCGGCTCCCTCGGCCAATAAAGCGAGATGAGCGCCGCAACCCTAGAGTCGGCCACGACTGGATCTAACGGTCAGGGGTCCCTTTACCTTTTAACTTTAACTCCACTGATTTCAATATGTCATCTCTATGACTAACATTCAATGGTACCCACATTGGGTTTTTAAAAAATAATAATAAGACAGCTTTAGGGCTTGTTTGGTTTCTTAAACCACTTAACACAACCAACTAAAACAAACAGAGGCAGAAGGATTTATTTATTCAAAGAGCAGTGCCTTGAAGAAGTAATGGTTGTCAGAATATTGTTATAAGCACTTCTCTGAATGGGGAGATATCCTAAAATAAGCGCTGCTGCAGCGCTTAGGAACCCAGAGAGCTCCTTATATGGGCTGCTTGTATGGAATCAGACCATTGGCCCATTTAGTCCAGTATTGGCTGCACGGGCTTGCAGCAGCAGCTCTCCAGGATTCCAGACAGTGTGGTGTAGTGGTTAAGAGCGGTGGACTCGTAATCTGGTGAACTGGGTTCGCTTCCCCGCTCCTCCACCTGCATCTGCTGGGTGACCTTGGGCTAGTCACACTTCTCTGAAGTCTCTCAGCCCCACTCACCTCACAGAGTGTTTGTTGTGGGGGAGGAAGGGAAAGGAGAATGTTAGCCGCTTTGAGACTCCTTCGGGTAGTGATAAAGCGAGATTTCAAATCCAAACTCCTCTTCTTCTACTACCTGAACACAAGGTGTTTTCAGGAATCATTTGTCAGGCGAGTGTTAACATAACAAGTTGACAATTTCCATTGATTCCTATGGGGAAATTTCTAATGCGTTCCCAGCCATGGAATTTTGACCCCCCCCCCCAAAAAATGCCTCAGGCATCATCTGAACCAAGCCTGGGGCCTGAACCTGAAGAGTCCCGGACTGCACAGGTTCCCCTGCAACAAACACCAGCTGGGCCGAGTCAGGTGCCTGAGCCTGCCCTGGCTCCAGATGCGGGGATTCCCTCGTTGCCTTCAGCTGGGCCATCACTTACAGCTGCTCCACTACCGGTTGGGTCAGGAGAGGCTGAGGCGGCCTCTGGGTCTAGTAACCCACCAATGTCTCCCGAGCTGCAGAGACTCAGGTCTGAGAGAAGGAGAGACCTGAGTACTCGCAGGAGGAGTGCTCGCCTTCGGGCGAAACAGGGAGGTGAGTCGCTGGGGGATCAGGACTGGCCGTTACCCCGACAAAGATAAAAGGCTGTCGGACCCCACCCCAGGTTGCGGGAGCAACATTGCTGTATGCTAGATCCTGCCTGAGATCCTGTACCTTTCCTTGCCTGGTTTCCTGCCTCGTGTCCTGCCTTGACCCTGTCGGACTGACTCCTAGAGGAACCTTTGGATTCGGGACAACACCTGGACTGCGTTGCTCGGGTTACCCCTAGGGCCAGCATAAAAGGTAAAGGGACCCTGACCATTAGGTCCGGTCGTGGCCGACTCTGGGGTTGTGGCACTCATCTTGCTTTATTGGTCGAGGGAGCCGGCATACAGCTTCCGGGTCATGTGTCCAGTAGGACTAAGCCGCTTCTGGCGAACCAGAGCACAACATGGAAACCAGAGCAGCACACAGAAACGCCGTTTACCTTCCCGCCGGAGTGGTACCTGTTTATCTACTTGCACTTTGACGTGCTTTCGAACTGCTAGGTTGGCAGGAGCAGGGACCGAGCAACGGGAGCTCACCCCGTCATTGCGGGGATTCGAACCGCCGACCTTCTGATCGGCAAGTCCTAGGCTCTGTGGCTTAACCCACAGCGCCATCCGTGTCCCAGGGCCAGCATACTTCCGCCCTTATTTGTGACTGTCCCGTGATGCGCCTGCGGTTGTGGGCATCTGGAGTGAGAGGCCCTCCGCCTGAACCTGCGTTCTGCTGCTTCAGAACTGGACCCAGTCCAGAGCAGTGGAATCTTCCACGGGATAAAGGAAAGTATGTGAAACATCCTTTCCCCCTTCCTCTGACTAACTCCAGCTGGTTTCGGAGCGGCCCCGTTCCCTTTCACGGCTGTTTTCAGCGCCGGAGAGAGGGAGCAAAGAAATGTGTTTCGTTTCACCTCTGCTTTTGGGAAGCGAGAAGAGTTATCCCTCTCCCCGCTTGCATTTTCTTCTTTAGAAAAAGAACACACACACACACACACACACACACGCCCTGTTGTGTTCTTGTGACTTTTATGAAGTGTTTCGCTCTGCTGTGCAGGCGGTCCCATTCCTGCAGAAAGAGGAGGAGGAAAAGTATTGGTGGGGGGGCGGTTGTGGGCCCCGGGGGGGGCAGCACTGCCCCCATTGTAGGGGCGAGGGCACAAAGTTTGTTAAATGTTCCATGTGTGACTTTTTGTACATATATGGTAGCTTGGAAGGAAGAGGGAAAGAGGAAGGAGCGACAGGGGAAACTCATTAGCACGCCCTGTCTTCAGCCAAAACCGGGAACTGCTTTGAAGATAATAATACCTTTATTGTCAATGTACAACCTGTGTACAATGAAATTAACTGAGCCTCCCCCCCCCCAAACACTCAATTTCATTGCACTCTGTGTGCTTGTCGCACAACACACCAACCCCGAAAGTCAGTTGCACTATATTATTTTCCGTTCAGCAGCCTAACGGCCCATGGACAGAAGCTGTTTTGTAGCCTGTTGGTACGACTGATTATGGGACGCTGTGGGTTAAACCACGGAGCCTAGGACTTACCAATCAGAAGGTCGGCGGTTCGAATCCCCGCGACGGGGTGAGCTGCCGTTGCTCGGTCCCTGCTCCTGCCAACCTAGCAGTTCAAAAGCACACCAGCGCAAGTAGATAAATAGGTACGGCTCCGGCGGGAAGGTAAACGGCGTTTCCGTGCGCTGCTCTGGTTTGCCAGAAGCAACTTAGTCATACTGGCCATATGACCCGGAAGCTGTACGCCGGCTCCCTCGGCCAGTAAAGTGAGATGAGCGCCGCAACCCCAGAGTCGTTGAAGACTGGACCTAATGGTCAGGGGTCCCTTTACCATACAACTGATTATACTTCTATATCTCCTGCCCCAGGGTAGAAGATTAAAGAGGTGCTGGCCGGGGTGTTAATCGTCCTTGAGAATTTTTCTCACTCTCCTAAGGCAACGATCCTTTGCAATGTCATCTATGGGGCTCAGGGGATATCCCATGATATCATGTGCTGTGTTCACCACCCTCTGTAAAGACTTTCTGTCTGTGGCTGTCAAGCCAACGTACCACACTGTGATACAATATGAGAGGACACTTTCTATTGTGGACCAGTTGAAGGAGGTCATCAGTTGTTGTTTAACACTGTTCTCTCGCAAGACCCTGAGGAAATGGAGTCTCTGTTGGGCCTTCCTAGCCACCTGAGTTATATTGTTTTTCCTGTCCCCACCCCCAATTTTTTATTCATTTTATAACACAACTAAACAACACAAACAGAAAAACAATACAAACACATTCTTGTCTTATCCTTATTTTTTTCTAAACATTGTTAGGTGGGCTTCCCCAAGTCCCCCCTATCTGATTTTCATTTTACCTCATCTTTAGCACTTTACATATATAATAATTTTTTTCATGCTTACTTTTACCATAAAAATCTTCACAGTTTATCACTTACAAATAATACTATTTTAAAATACACTATCTTCTACTTCTAACCCTACAGCCTATATAGTTTGTCCAAGTGAGGTCTTCACTAAGGTAAACTCCCAGAAATTTAAAGGAAGAGATTCTCTCCACACAACCCCCCCTGATATACAATGGGGCTAGTTCCCCTCTCTTCCTCTGAAAGTCCAACACCATCTCCTTTGTCTTGCTAATATTTAGGTGCAAGTTACAGTGGTGCCCCGCAAGACGAATGCCTCGCAAGACGGAAAACTCGCTAGACGAAAGAGTTTTCCGTTTTGGAGGTGCTTCGCAAAACGAATCTCCTATGGGCTTGCTTCGCAAGACGAAAATGTCTTGCGAGTTCCTGCGGTTTTTTTTCCCTTTCCCCCCCTTTTTCTAAGCCGCTAAGCTGCTTATCTGCTTATCCGATAAGCTGATAAGCCGCTAAAAGCCGCTAAAAGCCGCTAATAGCGCTAATAGCGCTAATCCGCTAATCCGTCAATGGGCTTGCTTCACAAGACGAAAAAACCGCTAGACGAAGAGACTCACAGAACGGATTCTTTTCGTCTTGCGAGGCACCACTGTATTCTCTAGGCACCATGTAGATACTTTTCGAACCTCCCCCCGTACGCTGATTCATCTCCACCGGTAATTAGACCCATTATGGTAGTATCCTCTGCAAACTTAAGAATTGCAGTAGATGGGTCAGGTGAAATACAGTCATATGTGTACAATGAGTACAGGTAGGGACATCCCTGTGGGGTGCCAGTGCTGATCTTCAGGGAGGTAGATGTAACAGGCCCAATCCTCACCGTTTGTGGTGGAGGCTAGCATGGTGGCGCAATCAAACAATTTTAGGCTCTGGTCTTAGAGGAGCTCCATTCAATACATGGTCCATGCTCATTGCCTCGTTTGCATCTGAAGTGTAGTGACTGTTAGGATATTTCCGTTCCACCTTAAAAGGGAGCAGGATGTTTGTGTCACAGCCTGCGTATTTCCTGTTCACAGGATGTTTCTGTTGTGTCTATGCTTTCGTTTCTCTCTCTGTGCCTGAGACACCGAAGCAGGCAGTCATGTTTTCTTTGTTCTGATCAACACTGAATAAACTTGTAAATAATGCTCTCCTGCGTGCATCTTTCGCTGTGTGAATTCTGCTGATAGAGAGTGCATCAGCTCTGGAATGTGGCAAGCTATTTCTGGAGCTCGTGTCGCTAATTGCTGATACGGAGACAACGTGGAGTCATGATGGACTTTGTCTCCCTGGCAGTATCCCAACAGTGACCATTGTTGTAAACAAAAATTGCCCTTTTCCCTTATGGGGTATCCAAGAGCCCATATAGAGTCCTTACATAGGTTCCCTATTGGTAGGAGAAAATAACAGAGGCCAACCAGAGAATATTGAGAAGCAAAGCAGCTAGTAAGCCTGATCTTTATTAAAGCTGTTGCAACAGGGTGGTCCCCTCACCCGCACGAGGAGGAGGAGGAAGGACCCAGAACAATGGCGCGCAAGGCCTTATAAAGACTTTTGAAATTGCCACCCTGTAGATCAAGACCACCCCCAGAAACATCATACATACATCACAGAAGGGGTGTAACCTAAGACCACCACCCCCAGATACATCACACCTACATCACAGAAAAGGCGGTCTAAAACAGAAATTTGAATGTTGTTTTTCTCCTGTCCTTGTTTATCTCCTGTCTGGCAGGTTACTTGATTGGATTGCCTGGGGAGCCTGGCCATTCTTTTGTAGTGATAAATGCTTAGTTCCTGGGCCAGGTCACAAGCTCACACCCTATTCATATCTTAAATGTGTCCTTAAGACAGGATTTGTGAGGAAAGCGACAATGGGGAGGTTTCCCACTTTGACCTTGCAGAGGAAACATTTGGTCAGTTTAGGAATCAAAATGGTTCCAGGTCGGTCTTCCTGTGCTGATCTATGTACGTGCTTGGTTGGTACACTTATGAACATTACCATATATCTAAGACCATAAAATTCTTATCACAATATACACCCCTGCACACATGGAGGGGTCGTGAGAGCACGCAACCCCACCTCCTCCTGGCCAGCAGCCAGCAAGATCCATTGCTGAGCGCCTGATCTCAAATCTCTCTGGGGATCTGCAGCAGGAGGTTGGATCAGCTGCTTGCTTTAGGGAACCCACCCCGGAGAAGAACCGGCCTCGCCTGTGACTCACTGGTCTCCGCTCCTCAGACCTCCTGTGCAGCGGGCAGGATCCAGGGAGTGTGCAAAAGTAGGTGAAAGGAGGATTTGCCCAGCGGGGTTGGTTAATGAACCAGCCGTCCTGCTCTCGTTGACTCATTCGTCAAAAAAGAACGGGTCAGAAGACAAGAGAGCAGACAGAGGGTTGGCTTGTCTGAAAGCATCTATACATGCCCCATGAAACTTCTTTCTTGAATGCCCTTCTCCTTTGTTTCGCTCCTCTCTTTCGCTTTCCATTTATTCTGGAAAGGCTGTTTTTGGTCCTCACATCAGGGGGTTACCCAAGTATTCGAGAGGTACACAGGTGGACAAAATTGTGGAAACCTTTTGGGAAATTTCTGAGGTTTGTTGTCTCATAACACCACCAGAGCCAATGTGGCGTAGTGGTTAAGAGCGGTGGACTCGTAATCTGGTGAACTGGGTTCGCTTCCCCGCTCCTCCCCATGCAGCTGCTGGGTGACCTTGGGCCAGTCACACTTCTCTGAAGTCTCTCAGCCTCACACACCTCACAGAGTGTTTGTTGTGGGGGAGAAAGGGAAAGGAGAATGTTAGCCGCTTTGAGACTCCTTCGGGTAGTGATAAAGCAGGATATCAAATCCAAACTCTTCTTTTTTTGGAGCAATACTGTAAAATTACATTATCAATGGAAAGATAATTTAATGAAGAATGTAACGCAATGAAGTTTGTTCAATGATCTGTATTCTATCAAAAGTTAGAGCCAAATAACCAGAAAAAGGAAGCACAATTTGCTTAGGTTGATATGAGGTAGATTTTCTTCATTTGAATGCAGCCAATGAGCACAAGTGTATAGAGAGCCAATCAGGTGTTATGAGCCATCAAACCTTGGAAATGCACTTTCCCCAAAAGGTTTCTGTCTTGTCATCTTGTTTTGGCAATGAGCCATTCAGGTCACAGTAGGATTCAGCTATTGATGTTATGTACTGGAGATGAGGGGACGCGGGTGGCGCTGTGGGTTAAACCACAGAGCCTAGGGCTTGCCGATCAGAAGGTCAGTGGTTCGAATCCCCGTGACGGGGTGAGCTCCCGTCGCTCGGTCCCTGCTCCTGCCAACCTAGCAGTTTGAAAGCACGTCAAAGTGCAAGTAGATAAATAGGTACCGCTCCGGCGGGAAGGTAAACAGCGTTTCCGTGCGCTGCTCTGGTTCACCAGAAGTGGCTTAGTCCTGCTGGCCACATGACCCGGAAGCTGTAAACCGGCTCCCTCGGCCAATAAAGCGACATGAGCGCCGCAACCCCAGAGTTGTCCACGACTGGACCTAATCGTCAGGGGTCCCTTTACCTTTACTGGAGCTGAGAGGAGGGCGTTTGTCAGAGTGTTAGGTGATTGCTATCAAGTTGGTTGTTGTTTTTTGTTCTTTCATTTAGTGAGCTTGTAAAACATAATACAAATTAAAGAAATGGCGCAAAGAGTTGACTGGTCACTCAGAAAGTGATGTGATTACTTCTGCATTGGCTGTGCATGCCAGTTCTGCTCAGCTGATGGGCAGGAGGTTAAATCCTGCTCAGTTTGGCAGGATTCAGTGCAATCCGGAAGGGGGTCACGTTAAAACGCCTGATAAAAAATGAGGGTTCTTGCTTTAGCAAGGTGCTTTGACGTCCCGACTTTGGGACGTCAAAGTGCCGAAACACCTGGTGTCATTGTCGCTTCCAGCCCCACCCACCTATCCAATTTGGTTCACGAGGCCGGTCCTGATGAAGATCTGGTCCATGGAGCCAAAGAAGACCCCCACCCATGGGATAGAGAGTTCCCAAGCAAGGCTGAGCCCCCGTACCTTTCTCTCGCAATCTGTGGGACCATTGAGCTCTCATTCCCGAAGCAAGCTTCTGTGCAAAGCTTGGTGGCTTCATTGCCCTTTTAACAATGTTGGTTTTGGCATGGGATCCTGGGACGACTCTTGGACAGTTTATTGCAAACTCTTGTTGACTTCTGACCCAGTCCTATAAATGAGGGAAGTTGTTTGAAAACAGAGGGAGGGACTGAAGACGATCTCTGCTCTCTTTTGCACCAGTCCATGCTTCTGGGAGGAAAGGTTCACTTTCTGGAGAGTCATGCCTTTGTGTGTGTAATTGGTGGGTTTTGTTGGAAAGTAGGGATACAGGGGGCGCTGTGGGTTAAACCACAGAGCCTAGGACTTGCCAATCGGAAGGTCGGAGGTTCGAATCCCCTTGACGGGGTGAGCTCCTGTTGCTCGGTCCCTGCTCCTGCCAACCTAGCAGTTCAAAAGCACGTCAAAGTGCAAGTAGATAAATAGGTACTGCTCCGGTGGGAAGATAAATGGCATTTCCATGTGCTGCTCTGGTTCGCCAGAAGCAGCTTAGTCATGCTGACCACATGACCCGGAAGCTGTAAGCCAGCTCCCTCAGCCAGTAAAGCGAGATGAGCGCCGCAACCCCAGAGTCAGCCATGACTGGACCTAACGGTCAGGGGTCCCTTTACCTTAGGGCTCATTCCATGCCCACCCCAACCCTGGTATTTCATTTATTTACGTGCACAAAGTGAAAAATGAATAGATGATGATGATAGTAATAGAAGTAGTAGTAGTAGTAGTAGTAGTAGTAGTAGTAGTAATAATACAGTCGTACCTCGGCTTCCGAGTGCCTTGGGAGTCAAACGTTTTCAAACGTTCTTTTGGAACTCGAACGTCCGACGGGGCTTCCACGGCATCTGATTGGCTGCAAAAGCTTCCTGTAACCAATCAGAAGATGCGTTTTGGAAGTTGAACATTTCAGAAGTCAAATGGACTTCCGGAACAGATTCTGTTCTACTTCCGAGGTATGACTGTAATAATACTAATAATAATTTATTAGTTATACTCCTCCCATCTAGCCAGGCCTCCCCAGCTACTCTGGGCAGCTTCCAACCGAATATTCAAGTTCAAGTTTATTGCGGCCAAAGCCAGTGACACTAAACACCATAAGATCAGACAACAAGAAAACAGCAACAACTTCAGAAAAGAAAAAAGGTTACACAAGAGAACTTCACAGTGTGCCATTCAACAGAAGAGATTTACGCTTCTTAATTACTAAAGTGCAAAATTTAGCCACCTCATATGATACTGAGCTTGAGGAGTCTTCCAGGAGGTATTTTCGAAGAATTTCAGGGGAGGATTCCAAATAATATTGAAGGGGTATAAATTTTGATAGAAGTGGTAAAATAAGTCGAACTCGTTCTTCACTATAGAATTCGCAAGATAGAAGAATGTGTGTGACAGATTCTACCTTATTAGACATACAAGGGCAGAGACGCGCATGCATTGGAACTCGCGTGAATTTGCCATACAGCACTGCTGAGGGCATTGTCTCAAAGCGGGCTCTAGAGAAAGCCCATCTATAGGTTTCGTTAGTGATGTTAGTTAAGTAAGGGGCAGCTGCAAAATTAGGCCAAGCTTTTAAACATCTATACGTCTCTGGGAGTAGGGCGCCTTCTTGTTGTAATTCGATATCATAAAGTCTCCGAGTGATAGTAGCTTTTGCCTTGTTCAGAGTTCCAATAAAAATATTTTCAGGGTTTAGGCCAATTTGTTTGATCTTGTTAGTTATTTGCATAAGCCAAGGAGGATAGGGAACTGCGGCCAGGAAGCAAGGTAATAGACCCTTAGGATTGTAATGGATTTTCAGCCAGAGGGATATTGCTTGTTCCCAGACTTTTAATTCCACTCTGGGCAGTCCTGCCTCTTGCCTTAAGACTGCATTAGGTGTACACTTAGGAGTAGCAAATAATGATCTTAAGAATTTAGATTGTACTGTTTCAAAGGTCTTAAGGTTGGCAGAGGGGCTAATTTGAGAGCCATATAGAAGTTGGGCTAAAGATTTTGCCTGAAAGACTGTTAGGGCCATCGGGAGGAAGCCAGCTCCTTTCCTTCTGAATAATCTAAGGATAGCATTTGCACTTCTTTCTGCTGATATAGCTGATGTGGTCAAGTGTGTTGAGAATTTGGCATTATAAGAGAAAGTAATGCCTAAGTATTGGAAGGTCTTAGTCTGTTCAATGGCGTTTCCCTTTACGCTCCAATTATCCTTCCTAAAGGAGCGGTTAAAATGTACAATTTTGGTTTTGGCAAAGTTAATTGTTAACAGTTCAGTGTTACATTGGTCACTAAACTTTCCTAAGGCACGTTTCAGACCCACTTTGGTTTGAGAGAGAAGAACAGCATCATCCGCATACATTAAAATTGGTACTTTTCTGCCATTAGAGAACACAGGAGGGTGGGTTTCAATTTCACGGCAGCATGTAACCAGGGAGTTAACATAGATTAGTTATACTCCTCCCATCTAGCCAGGCCTCCCCAGCTACTCTGGGCAGCTTCCAACCGAATATTAAAAACGCAGTAAAACATCAAATATTAAAAACTTCCCTAAACAGGTACAAATACCACCCAGATGTGTATGAACACCCTCCAACATTCTTGACCCCGGCGTTTCTTGCTGTCTCCCCACCACAGAGCATTTCCTATCAGAGGAAGGGCGGGTGCCAACACCATGGGTAGGCAAACTAAGGCCCGGGGGCCGGATCCGTCCCAATCGCCTTCTAAATCCGGCCCGCGGGTGGTCCGGGAATCAGCGTATT